TCATTTTCGAAGAGACTTTTCAAATGTTAGCTCTTTTCTTTTCTTTTTTTGGTCGGTCATGGGGCTTGAACTTTGGGCCTGGGCACTGTCCCTGAGCTCTTCAGCTCAAGGTTAGCACTCTACCACTTGAGCCACAGGGACACTTCCGGCTTTTTCTGCTTATGTGGTGCTGAGGAATCGAACCCAGGGCCTCATGCATGCAAAGCAAGCACTCTACCACTGAGCCACCTTCCCAGCCTCATGTTAGCTCTTTTCTATTAGCCTTTCTGATTCATTTCCTTCCCAAAAGTTTGGTACTCCCTCTTCCTTCAATTTTTTTTAAACATTTGTCTCTTGTAGCCATGATAGTACTGTTAAATGGAATTACATATTATTATGTGATACTATATAATAACACTATTATATTTTATACATATATTACCTGTTTATATATTATTAATAATATATATTAGTTTGTATACTTTTACATATTATTTTTGCCTTTTTTCCATCTACAGTAACATAGTAAAGGGATATTCACAATAGCTTATTTTTAATTTATTTTATTTAATTATTTATAGAAATGATGAATAAATGTTTGACCAGCTACCCTTACTATGGCTTGCATGCAAAAGACCTCCAGAGTTAAACTATAGGAGACAGTGACACATGATAAAAACAAAGCAAAACACCTGGTTTCAGGATGCCTAAAATGTAAAATAGGGAAAGGAATCATAGACGCTTATATAGACACTGTGCTAGAGGATTTTCACATGCAATTGTAAATCATATTGCATTGTACAAATAAAGAGACTGTTGATTTTTAGTAACTTACCAATATCACACAGTGATGGTTAATCTGAGATTAAACTTGGGTTTGCCTCATTCCAAAACTGTATTTAGTCCTTTAGTATACCAGGCTCCCATTCTAAACACCAAGTTGTTGCAAGTTGTTGTAGTGTAAAATGAATAGAGGAAAGCAGGAGAGTTTGACTGTGTTGATTGTAAAGCACCACAAGGTGGTGCTCTTGCCTTGATGGCATCTATGAAAAGAAATTAAGATCTAAATCCTACCCTTTATCCAGCCCTATATAGATTGAGTCAGTTTATCCATTTGCTCTGATCTTTCCCTCTCTCTCTCTCTCTCTGCCTCTCTCTCTCTCTCCCCCTCTCTCTCCCCCTCTATCTCTGGGATTGACATCATGCCATCTACTCATGAGACTGTGAATATTCAACTCATTAATGTATTTTAAATATACTCAAATGTAATACTTTTAATGAATGGTAGTACAAATAATAATTATTTTATACAGACTAATCTCAAATTCTGATGAATTCTAAATGGGCCTAGGAATTATCAAAGTAACATGAATTATACTCAACAAAGTTTTAATATTAAATGAGTCTTTGAAAACTATTAATCCATATATGATTTAAAGTAACTCTGTTACCCAGCACAGACAAATTGAGTACAAGTAGACCATCCCTTATCGGAAAGAGTTTTCAAATTTTTGGGGTTTTGTGATATTTTTATTTAATTAATGAAATACCTTTTGGATGGAACCATCACCTGTGAATGTCACTTACATTTTATTTATATTTTGCACAAGTAGGCTGAAAGTAATTCTTTTATAATTTCATTAATGTGATTACACCTGAGGTCACATATGGAATTTTCATATGTGGCACCCTGTTGACAATCAAAAATTTCTGGATTTGGGGTATTTGAAATCTGACATTTTTGGATTAGGGACTTAGTCTGCACTCTTTATTTAACTACTGTGCTAGGTAAGAGTTGACTAAACCCCTTTTAGTTTGTCATAAAAGAGATCAGCACAATAACATAGATTATTAATAGCTTCAGCACTGGCTCATGCAGATGCCATATTTTATTGACTCTATGACATTTTTTCCATGTCCCTGGCATTAGTATGCAGCTAACAATAAATGACATACTAGAACAGATACAGGAAGGCATTATTTTTTATTGATAAGTAATCTTAAAAATGTCATTTTTCTCCCACTTAAGATTGCATTATATAAGACCATTATCAGTTGTCTGTTGTTCAATGAAAAATTACTCTATCAATTTTGACCATTATTGTTAATTCAGCATTCTTTTTAGCAGCTCTTTTGTTTTCTATGAATTTGACATTGCAAGTATCTTGCTTCCTTAACCAAAACATATACATTAATTTATATGATTTGTATATAAATGTCATTAGTGCTGAATATTTATAATTCACAATTATAAATTAAGTTAAATGATAAAGTGATGAATAATGTTTTTCAGGTAAATCCTTTCCTTAGGAAAGCTGAAAAAGTATTAATGTCAGACATTAAAGTTGTTATAGAAAATTGGAATATACAGCTAGGCATTGGTGGCTTATGCCTTGTAATCCTAGCTACTCAGGATCACTGTTCAAAACCATCCCAGGCAGGAAGATCTGTGAAACTCTTATCTCCAATTAACTACCCAAAAGCCAGAATAGGAAGTATGGCTTGAGTGGTAGAATACTAGGTTTGAGTGGGAAAGCCAAATGAGATCACAAGACCATGAGTTCAAGCCCTAGTACTAGCATACAAACAAAAATAGAGAATATACAGCAGACCCATTATCACATAGATAGCATGTGGAATGACAATTGTGTAATAAATTAGAAATCTCATAACAAAATAGTAGGCACTTACCTCCTCCCATGCTAATTGGTAAAAGTAGAAATCGTAATGGAAATTATTGAAAATAGAATGATAATGAAGGAACCACATGTTAAACCACATACCAAGAAGTCTATCATATTTTTTACTTCTAAACTCGAGGTTTTCTTTTTTCACCTAAACTCATAGTTTCACACTTGCTAGGCTAGTCCTAACTGGGTACCACTTGAGCAATGTTCCCAGCTCTGCCTTACATGTATGTATATGGAAAGTCCAAAAAAATCTACAAATGCACAATTAGATTTAAGAAGTGATTTAAGCAAGAATATTTTATACAAAGTCACTATGGATAGCCAACTACATTTCAATATACTATTAGCAATTAGAAAATGAGTTTTTTGGATTATATCTCAGCTTCAGTTACTTACCACATACTTCACTCATATGAAGTGTGCATTTTTGTATATTCGCAGGGCTGTTCCACCATCAACAATAGTCCATTTCAGAATATTTTCATCAATCCATGAAAAAATCCAGTAATAACTGATGTGGTGGTATGTTCCTCTAATCCCAGCTACTTGGGAGGCTAAGTAGGAGTGCTTGAATTGCCCAAGCCAATCTGGGCAACATAGCAAGACCTTTCTAAAACAACAATAATAACAACCCAAACCTGAAACCCAGCTCTACTAAGCATTCATCTCCATTTCACCCCAATCATCTCCCCAGCCCTTGGGAACTATTTAAACTACTTTTAATCAATTTACCTATTGGTGGATATTTTATATAAATGGAATCATATAAATTAGTCTATAATGACTAGCTTCTGTATTTTTTTATACTCAGTAAGTGGTAGCTACATCATAACTTTGAAGGTTTATCAATTAACCAGAATGCACTGCTCCCATACACGCTTCCCACTGAAGTACATTTCTATTTACTGTCATGGAATAAGTAGGTTTATGCCAGTGGTGACTCAGTCCTAGCTCTGCCACGCTATGTAGCTTTGGATAAGTCATTATACTTACTCCCTGGAGACACTTTTCCAATTTAAGAGTTGGGGAAAATGTCTTACCCAATCAGAAACTGAAGAATAGGTACAGTCTCTGGGAAGAAATGAATAACTACTTGACCATTACCCAACATTCATGGGATAAGAGTAGTCCTTGATATTTAGCCTTTTCTCTGTTCATTTTTCCTGTGATTAGATATTTTTCTCTTGAGTTTTCTCAATACATATTTTCAAGTTCTCTGAAAATGAGCTTTCTGAGACTAACCTGTACCATATTGCTTCTCTCACCCTGAGACATTTGACCTGCCCCAAGTTCTTTAGTTTTTTTTCCTCTAGATTATGTAAGACACATAGTATTTTAAGACCATTGACCAGTAGATGCATCATTTTCTTTCTCTTTAATTCCTATTATCTTAACAGAACATGATTTTACATAGGGCTGAATATTAAAAAAAAATTAGAGGGGCTGGGAAGGTGGCTCAGTGGTAGAGCGCTTGCCTTGCATGCCTGAGGCCCTGGGTTCAGTTCCCCACACCACATAAGCAAAAAGTGGCTCTGTGGCTCAAGTGGTAGAGCGCTAGCTTGGAGATGAAGAGCTGAGGGACAGTGCCCAGGCCCAGAGTTCAGGCCCCACGACTGGACCAAAAAAAAAAAATTAGATTTAAAAGCTGGGCTATACACTGTCACCAGACAAAACATATAAATCTAGTTTCCTTCCTCTCCCTTCATTTTGGAATTGTTCATGTTTTTCTTTAGAAAACATGTACTGTTTATATCCAAGTGCCATGTGTCAAAATAAATTGTTTCCAAGACCTAATGGCAATTCAGTAGGAGGAAGCAGACAAATAAGCAAGTAACAGTATAGTATGAGATCTGCCAACTGTAGAGCACTGTACAAGTGGTTATGGGAAATCTGGAAAAAAGGATTGGAGAGTGTTTTGAAGTAAATGTCATCTGGCATTTCTGCACTAATAAGCATAATACATAAGCAGCCAGATGAGGGACACCTGCTTTGTTTGAACCTCATAACAACCTGGAGAGATACACGTTTCTGATTCCCATTTTAGAAAGCAATTTAAAGCTCAGGTTCAGCTTCTGTATTTGTCCCCTCCCCCCAACATCTATGACCCTCATGCAGAGTATAGAAAGTCTCCTTGCCGGATCCTCGAGTATCCTGCGAGCTGTTCTCCTTTAGTGCTTCCTCTTTAAGCCAAACTAGAATTCTCAGATTTCTCTGTTCTGTCTAGCCTGCCTCCAGTGTCCTCAGTGTATTGAGTATTCCAGGGCTGTAGCAGCAGTGAATATTGCTGATGTCATTGTTTGCCTTATTGGGATTTTGCTCTTTGTTTCACAGGGAGCTGTGATTGGTATAGACGATGAGGACGACAGCACCTTCACAATAACTGTTGATCAGAAAACCTTCCATTTCCAGGGTGAGCTGAAAGAAGAGATTCTTTCTCTTCATAATCCCAACTGCTTCTTTCCTTCTCTTTTGGGTTATCTGCTGAATGACTTGAGTGTTTTTGCTACTGATCCTGCATGAACGAGTGTACAAGAGCATTCTGGATGAAGTGGTACTGAAGGTTAGGCAGGGATTTGTATCTGCAGTGGATACACATTTATTTGAAGCGACTGTGGATCTGGCTGCAATTGGAGATTAAATTTGAAAGGATAAAAATCAGTGAAAAGAGAGTAATGGGCTGCTGCTGCTGCTGGCTTGTGTTTACAGAAGGTTGCTCATCTTCTTTATCAAGGAGTGTAGTTTGTTTCTGCATGAAGAGGCTAAAGACTGTGAAGGTTGCAGTGTTTGTGTAAAACTCAAGATGTAAATTAAATTGAAGCTAGTGGAAATCTTTGCCTGAAAGGTTTTGTTGTGCTTCAGGAAGTATAAGTTTGCATTCATTTCATCTTCATTTTTGTGTCTTGTCTGCCAGCTATCATTTCTCTATTATCCTTTCTGTAGTTAATAACACCAATGCCATCTGCCACTGCTATGTTCCGGCATTGCATGCTATGGTTCACCGGTAGAAAGGGTAAGGTGCTCTATGATGATTTTCATTTCATCTTGCTGTGAAAGCTCTAAATCAGCAAGTAAAAGCCAGTTTTAATGATCTTGTACTAAGGTGCTTGTCTGGTAGTTTTGATACTAGGATTGCCTGGTAGTTTTGATACTAGTGATATTGTTATTTTGCATATCCAGAAAAACCTCTATTTTATATTTAAAACAGTTAAAGAAACTTAGAAATGAGAATATTTGGAGACATTATTATTATTATAGTCCAGAACACTTTCTCTGATTGCAAGTAATAATACATTGCTATAGATGCTAGGTATACTGAGATGAATACATATTAAATAAATACAGAACTTAAAAGTGTTTTCTTACGAAGCCCAGATACGCTATACAATGACTATATGAGGGTATTCAGGCAGCTATTGTTATTCTTCTATGCTAGGACAGTATATTGCAGATATTTTTCTTCACTGTCTTATTTTAAAAATAGACATATAGAAATGAAGAAGGTGCAGCTTATATACAATATAGTCAAACCAGTGTACTCACTGGTTACATTTTAATACTTTCTTCTGCTTATCTTTAAAATGTTTACTATGTTTGATACTGCTTATTTAGAACTGATTAATGATGTTTTCTTGAAATTTTCCACTATATTTAACTTCCTTAAATATTTTTAATTGTATTATAAAAACCTAGAGTCCTTATTTTAAAGTTAACTGTATAATGCTGCTTATAAACCAAGGAAGATAATTTCCCCACACTGGGACTCTTTACTTGAATATTTTAAGGCATTTCAAGTAAGAGCTGCTGGTTGCAGGTGAGGGCTGCAGTACATAATTCTCTCCTCTGCAGTCACCTCTGGACTCGCAGAATTCGTGTTGTTTTCTTGTTCGAAGAAGAGATATCTATAGAGCAAAGGCACCTATGCCTTCTTATTTATTTTTAAATTACTATGTTAAACTGATCTCTCCTTTGGCATTTCCATAGTTATGTGACTTACTTATGAAACAAGACATTTCTCTAATGAATCATATAAATGATAAGGCTAAGTAAGAGTTATATATATATATTTTTTAAATGAATTCTTAGTTCTGAGACTGTCAGATTGGTTATTTTCTGCTCAGTAGTTATGAGGTCTTAGGTATCACAAGATCTAGCTTTTACAAAGGACTTGATACTACTATGTTTATTTCTTATTTTTTGGCAATTATGAGTAACTTCACATTTATAGATCCTTACTCAGAAGAAAAATCTGCAAATTTGATTTAAAAAAATTCTCAATGTCTGATAAATCTTAAATTCAAGATGATTAAAAGCAATTTGGGTTTGAATATATTAATTAACATGTTTAAATGTGCTGAAGTATCTATCAATCTATCTTTTGAAGGGGGCGAGTGCTCTATCCCTGAGTTATATGTAATCCAGTTTTTATGTAATGTACCAAAATTCTTGAAAGTAAATGATACATGTATAAAACAAGTTTTACTGGCAACTATTAAAAGAAAGCTCGTTTGTTTAAACACATTCATTCATTTATTCATTTAACATCTATTTTAGACATTATTCTGAAATACAGTGGTCTATAGAATAGATAAAATGCCTTGCCTTCTTGGTTCATCCATCCATTTTGGTAGAGGAAAAAGGCAGTAAATAAAATATATTACATAAGTAAATAAGAGTGATAAGACCTGGGGAGAAAAAAAGCTGTAAAGGGTGAAAATAAAATATAATTTTGTGTCTTTGTGTGTGGGGAGAGGGTTGACATTTTCAGCTAGGATAGCTAGAGTAAAACTCATTGAGATTAGTGCTGAAGAACGTGAGGGCACAGACTGTGGCTGTGTTGAGGGGTTAAGGGGAGGTAGGTATGTCATTCTAGACAGAGACAATAAGTACAAAAAGGTGTCCTTGCCATATTTGAAGAATAGCAAGGATGCCAGCCCTGGTGGGAAGGATGCATAACCATAGAGAAGAATAGTGAGATGAGATCCAAGAGAAAACCCAGTCATGGGCGTTGAATTCCATTGAGACAAAAAGACCAAACTGAGTTTTCAGCATGATAGAAATGGCATGATAGCATTTGCATTTTAACAGAGTCACTCTGGTCATTGCATTGAGAATAAAATGCTGGGGTTGGAGGAATGGCTCAGTTGGTAGAATGCTAGCCAATGAATGAAAGCATTAGGTACCAAATTTGAGTCCTGGTCTTGGACCAAAAGAAAAAAAAGAATAAAATGCAAGGAGTAAGGAAAAACAAGAGAGACTTTTTAGGAGGCTATTGTAAACCAGAAGAGAGATAGTAGTGGTTCCTATATAGTAGCAATACTGTTAGGGAAGTAGATAGAATTCAAATTGAAGGTGGTGGTGGTGGTGGTGGTGGTGGTGTGTGTGTGTGTGTGTGTGTGTGTGTGCTGGGACTGGGCTTGAACTCAGGGCTTCTTGCTCTCACTTAGCTTTTTTGCCCAAGGTTGGCACTCTGCCACCATAGCCATGCCTCTCCATTTTCATGTTTTTGCTAGTTATTTGGAAGAGAGTCTCGGATTTTTCTGCCCAGGCTGGCTTCAAACCGTGATTTTCAGATCTCACCCTTCTCAGTAGCTAGGATTACAGGTGTGCCTCTCTAGTTCAGTGAGTTTTGACAAGTTTACACATAACTGCTACCACAGTCAAAATCTAGAACATTTCTATTATTCCTAACAGATTTCCTTATGTCTCTTTTTAGTCAGCTTCCAGTCCCAACTGAAGGAACCAATGAAGGATCACACACATCCATCCCAGGGGACCACACAGAGGCAGGCAGGCACAGGAGAAAGATTATTATAAAGTTTATTAGAGGAGCCATATTTCCCCCAAGAGGAGGGCCTGCGTCCCCATCCAGGTAGCAGGAGGGTCTGAGGGATTGGAAGTGAGGTAGATGGGAGTTAAGGTGGGTCTGAGTGGAGAGAGGGAGAGGCCAGCTGTATGGCAGGAACTCCAGGAATGGGAGGGATCCCAGGAGGTCTGGGTGGAGCTGAGGACCAAAGGTGAGCAAAATACTAACACCAACCCCTAGCTCCAGGCTACCATTGATCTACTTTCATGTTTGTCCATTTGGTTTTCCCATAGGACTGGGCTTTGGTACTGGGCCTCACATCTGCTAGGCAAGTATTCTATCACTTGAGTCATGCTCCCAGTCCTTTGCTATTAGATTTTGTTTTTTCCAGAGAAGATCTTGCTCTTTTGCCTGGACCAGACTTGCACCATGAGCCTATCCACCTGGGATAGTGAGTAGCTGGGATTGCTACTTATTGCACCAACTGCCCACCTCACTGACCTGTTTTTTTTTTTTTTTTAAACTATAGATATAACTGTTCATTTGGAGACTCTCACACAAATGGACTTAATACAGTATATACTTTCTTTTGTGTGGCTTTATTTTAGCTCAGTTATGTTTTAAAGATTCATCCATCATGGTTGCACACAGGTAGTACTTACACTTCAGGTTAGATATCCCCAACTTGAAGTTCTGATAATTTCCTGTATTATACTGACCCTTGTGTTTTCTTTTAGTTTATCATCTAACTGGTAAGCTTGCTAATCAGTACTCACCTTCACCAAATGTTGTCTTTGTTTTGGTTTGGTTTTTGGTTTTTGTGCAGCCTTTTCATTAGTTCTTTGTATATCAGCATTTACTCTCATGATCATGATACCTTCATCAATATAACATCAGTGAAGCATATGATTTGAAGTTGTATTTCATTATTGTATTTCTTAATATTAAATTTGGATGATGGACTGAGGGTTTAGCTCAGGAGAAGGGCACCCGCCTGGCGAGTGCAAGGCCCTGGGTTTGGTCCTCAGCTCTGGGGGAAAAAAAGCTATAAAGACTAAATTTGGATGGCCTTAAGACAGCTTGACGTATACCTTTGGAGTGAGGAAGTCAAATTCAAAATTAATGGTGAGAAAGATGTATCTTTGCTGGGTTTCTTACTTTAATGAAATGATCTGCTCTGGGTGATAGTCTAGTAGGAATAATCAGGATTATGTAGAAGCTGAGCTCTTGCCTTGAGCAATTTAAGTCAAGTGGGCATGGTTATAATGGGATTTTTTTTCCTATGAGATGACTGGAAATTTTTTCTGGAGAAGGTGTGTTATATTGTAAAAGTGAGTCTCTGGTCAGAAAAAGAAGGAAGTGTGTTAGAGAGGAAGCAGGCACTAAAGATTAACTTAATGGCCTGGACACTGTATTCTTTTATAAATATCCCACATGTTTATAAGGTCAGTATTTTTATTCCCATTTTATAGGTAAGAAAATGGTAAGTTTTTATTCGTTTACACATTAGTAAGTGGCAGAATCAAACCTATGCTATTTTCATTATACAGAATTTATTATTTATGCCTTTTCTCTTGTTTCCTTGGCCACATTGACTTTATCTTTTA